GCAAAAGGAGGACCAGACCCTGTTAGTCGGCGACGTGTCACCTCGAGCCCTACTGACTGACCCACACCCTACTCGTCAGCTGACCGCAGCGACTGAAGCCTAGTGAGCGAGGCTGGTGCTGTACCCCGCGTAGTGTGGCCTGCATCGGGGTGAATGTTGAGATGTTGACTCTGTCTATGCAACCGGGGCAGCCACCGGGCACGGGTGACTGCATCCCGCATACTGTGATCTGCATTGAGGTACCCACCGAATTGTTTTTGGGCGAGGCGGGCTGATCACCATAGGGCCAGGATAGAAAGTAGTACTGTGATCTGCACCTCTGTACCTGCTGTTCTACCGGAACGGAGCAGACCTACCTACCCGCATGTAGACCTATGTACACACTGAGCCCCGTCCTGTGATCAGCAACTTACTCCCATACCTTTGTGTGTTTCCTATGAGAGGGGCGGCGTAACCTAGCAAACGAGGCACTGAGCCTTGACCAGAGTGGAGCCCAGAGAGCAGCTACCGAGAATCCTAAAGTGCTGTGCAATGTGTCTTGTGTAGCTCAGTGCAGTCGACTGTGAACAGTCTGTGAACTCAGGGGCACACTCCAGGCCCGGAGAAAGAAAGACAGAAAGAAAGAAAGACGGATGTAAAGAAAGAAAGAAAGCAAGAAAGAAAGACATAAGCAAAGAAAGCTATAAGGAAAGAAAAAGCAAAAAGAAGTAAATAAATAAAGAATTAAAGCTGTAAGGAAAGAAAGACGAAAGCACAAGGAAAGAACGCAAGAGAGTTAGAAACAACCAAACAAACAAACAATAAAGAAATATCGAAAGAACAAGAATGCAGAAAGAAAGAAAAGAAGACGGAAAGAAAGAAAGAAAGAACGAGAGAGAAAACGAATGAACGAAAGAAAGAACGAAAGCAAGAACGCAAGAAAGAACGAACGAAAGAGAGAACGATATAAATAAAACAAGAAAGAAAGCAAGAAAGAAAGGAAGGAAGAGAGTATGACATGCATAAAGGATGGAACAACTGAAAGAAAGAAAGTAAATGAACGAGCGAAAGAAAGAAATCCAGAATAAACAAGCAAAGTTGGAGAAGACGAAAGAGAAAGAACATGAAATAATTACAGAAACAAAGATACAAGCAATAGGGGACTACATAGTCCAATCGAATATACCATAATATCGTAATGTACCATAACATAGTATAACATAATGTAACCTATAATGTTATATATTATACTAACTATTACGTTGTATATATACAAACTATATTTTACTATGTTACAATGTACTACACTATAAACGTTGTTTTGTTCTATGTTATTTTCTGTTGTATTGTATTGTTGTTTTTTATTGATGTTATTAAGTTCTATAAGAAGCAAGGTTCTGTTATATGTCAGAACTGCCACACTATTTTTGTCATGTCGAACCATCCTATGTCGTTCTTATGGTTTACTATGTTATATTTACCTTAGAGTGCTAACGGAAGAAGAGACACGAACAGGCACGGAAGAACGAAAGACCCACCGCCGCGCTTTCGAGCCGTGCAAGCTTGATTCAACGGTGTTTTCGAAACCCATCATGTGAGCGTTGTGTCTGCAAATGGGCGGGGCTGCGCCCCCCCAACCCCCCCGCTGCTTTAAGCCGTACAGGGTTGCTTTGAAGCATATGGCTGACTTTGAAACCCAGCAAATGGGGGGGTCTCCGCCCTGGTAGATACATGCTGAACCAGAATCGCCAAATGAGGGGGCGTGTTTAAGATAGATGATGAAGCGGAATACCAGCAACAGCTACAACACGAACTCCGTCCTAAATGCGAAATTGCAAGGAAAATCTGATTTTCCCGAGGAACAATTAAGATAACGTGTGTTTTCCTTCCGAAAACCTGAAGAAATGACACGAACGCCATCGGTAATAGGAGAATAGTGTTCTTCCTAGGAAAAACCAAGCAAATCTTAAGGAAATACAAGGGAATCCATAGGAACATCGTAACATCGTGTTTTCCCGAGGAAAAACCAAGCAGATCTTAAGGAAATGAAAGAAATCCGTAGGAAAATACTGTTTTCGCTTGGGAAAATTCAGGAATTTTTGATTAGTTTTGTATTTCTTTTTTGATGCCTCAGCCCCAGGAATTGCTGTATTTTAGGTGATTTAATTCTTTGATCCTTATTTTGATTTCCTTTTTGATCCTTCCATCTTATTTTTTTGATCCTTATGTAATGTTTTTTTGATCCCCCACCCCTCCTTCCCAGTAGGAACGTGAGCAAGTTGACAGTTGAGCACCAGCTGCAGCTCCGAACACTGTAGTCTACGTAACACAGCCCACGATGACTTCCTAAAGGGGGGAGTTATCGGTACACGTACCATTTGCACGTTCTGAACATGTCATACAATCAAGTTAGGAAAGATCATCACTGGACTTGTTGCGACTTGTTTGGCTCAAGCAAAACGGGCTTTGCTTGCATTCATTGTGTCATGTCGGTTTCCCACCTGAACAACTTGCACCCCTGTTCAGGATGACCTTTTTTTGTTTTGTGCATTCAAGTGACGAACTTTGAGCAGTGGTTCCACATCTTCACAACATACGGGCGTGCCAAAAGCATAATGGCAATCATCGTTCCCAATTCGAAGTGCTCCATCCTTACGAATGTATTTGCCTCCGGAAATACTTCCAATGCTGTTTCCTCCTCGGGCCAAACTGCGGCGGGCGTGGTTGGTCCTGCTAATGCGAGCACTTGACTGAATCTAATCAGCGACACCAAGCTGAGGCAGTAAAGCAAAAAAACATGCTTGGCGAAGGACAGTTTCTTCATATTGAGATCAGGCTACCTAGCTTGATCACTCCATCTGTAATTAGTCCTGAAGTTGACGAATCCTTACGTCCACGTGCTTGAGACGTCCAATTCCTCTTCTCCGTGTCCGCTTCCTTGCCGAAGTTGAATCACCCCCCGCTTCTACATACTTCTACCTCGTACGGGAGAAACTTAGTACCTGTATCCCGTTCAGTACAATGATGCCAGATGAGGCTGCTTTCAGTCTTGCCGTTTTGGTGTTGTCAGACTTGCCCAGTCACTGTCCTTGTAGTATTTTCAGCTATTTGGTGGTTTCCTTCCGAAATCTCTTCATCTGGGTGGCCATTAAGCTTAGTGACGACACACCTCGGCTTGTACAACGCAACAAGTTTGCACGATGTGAGGTTCCACTCAAGCACAAAACAATCTTTCTGTTTCAAGCTTCTGAGTTCCTTTTCATTCGGTGCCAGACACTTTTTGGCATACTGTATGTCTAGGCGCGCATGTGCCAAATATAGCATGCCAAGACCAGGGAATCGCGCTGTCTCCTCGGTCCCTAATTCCTTTGCAGTGTCGCTTTCGGCTTCATCTTGCCCAATCCATGCAATTCTTCCAAGTACGATGAATACGTACTTCCTCTTCAAAGCTCGTTGTTTCGGGGAGGAGCAGAAAAGCCAGCAGGAAAAAGTTGACCAGTTTCCTCGCACTACACTGTTTGGTATGATTTTGTGGCATACTCGGATTCGGGCTCCAGTCGAGACGAGACGAATAATTGCTCCTTTGTCCGTGTGGGCCCATTCGCGCGCCGCTTCCGTTTTACCGGTCCCCAAACGCATGGTGATGGGAAGGAGGCTCTGGGATCCTTCGCAGTTCCATGTGAATAAAGGAGAAAGCGGTGCATCAATTGCGCAGGACCGGTTACAATCCTCTCGGTCTGCAAACTGGTCGCAGGAAGGGTGCTTTAGCGATGCTTCTCTTTCTTGGTGGGTTTGTATGGGCCTTCAGCAAACATGTTCGTTTTCAATTTCAAGTTTTCGTTTGGATTTCTCCATGGTTGTGGCTCTCTCAACGCATGGCGACGCGAACGAAGCTCCATGCGATTTTCCTGGATGGATTTGAGTCGCATCTTATCCTGGGCCTAGCAAAGTAGGGTGACTGTGAGACGGACAGTCTCACATTGGCTGATTGGCTTCGAAGCATTGAGTGCCGAAAGATTCGGCGCGCGTGGATCTGCCAGAAAAATCTTTTGACATGATGGCGAGACAGACACCGTGAGTGAATTTGGGAAATCAATTTGGTTGGTGGAAAGTTTCGTACGCTGAGGTCTTTCGCTTCTTCCCATACTTCTCCCGTGACAAAGTACGGTTCATGCGCAGCTCTCGGCCGCTTGTGTGTTGAAGCTTTCACGAGACACACAGCTTCAGGCTGCGCTACGTTCAGATTTCCTTCTTCTCGGGGCTGGGGTGACCGCAAAAGAGAGGTTCCTTTTCTGCATCACGAACGTAGCCACTTCTGTCGAAGGTACTTCTATCTGTGGTGCCACACACCATACGGCTGTGACAACTACGACCACTTCGCTGAAAGCCCCCTCTATAAGTACGTGAAGTCCCGCCTCGAGGCAGGAGCGCAGCATAGCGCAGCCATCCTCCCATCTCCTGAACTCCCCATTCTCGTAAACTGAGAGCTTTGAACGCTGTCAGAAAAGTGGCCAGCTGGAAGAGAACCTGCGGGTGAAGGTCCACCACTTCTATCCAGTCCAGGAGCTTTCATGATTCCACATCCGTGACCAGAGAGTTCGCCGAGCCGCCCTGCGAGGAGTAGCCGTGCCGCAAGATATGACAAGGCAAGAGTCAAGACATGCTGAAACGAAAATCACGATCGCAAAAAGCCGCCAACCTTGCATGTATCGGGGAGAATGCTGCTTTACAGGCAGTTCAGTTCGAGCAGGGAAATGGTGACGTCGTAGCACCTCGCCGATACGCATCTTCTAGCATTTGCGGCTCCGTGGGGCAGAGGCCACAGGTGTAGCCACAGGATGCGAGCATGCAGGTCTACCGCAGCCAAGCTTTCAGAAACGCAATGACGCAGCGACATTGTTCTGTGTCTTAGTGCTTTATTCTTGCCATCTCGCTGCCTCGCTGCAGCAGAGGTGCTTCAAGCCGGTCATTGGAGGGCGCATGTCTCGTTGTCGTGTTGTCCTAAAAGGCGGAAGCAGCCTATGGCTGAGACAGCGATAACTTCGCAGCTACTCGAGGAGGAGCAGATCGCGGAGATTAGACTTATTTTTCTGAACTTTCTGCTCTTGGCATGAGGCTGGCCTGAGCTTGGAGTTCCAAGAGGAGGGCACACGGCTGGTGGCGCCATCGCCGCAAGAAGCCAGGATTCACCAACCTTCAGCCTCTGATGGGACATGTCAGATCCGGGCCGGTGGCGGCCCGAAGCGCAGCGCCGGCGCCGAGGCCGGGGGCCCCTTAAGACGCTCTTCTGAGGGCTCTAACAGTCTGAGGTGGTGGCAGCGTTGCTGAAAGCTGATCGGCGGATCCGAGCCCTGGACCTCCGGCACTCCCAGCTCAACGACAACGGTCGGGAAAGGGAACTCGACAGCGTCGTGAGACTTTGTCCGAGTCTTCTGGCGCGGAGGCTTGGCGCAGATTTCTTTGGTGGTTCGCCAGACCGATCAGCTGGAGGCGAGACACCCCCCGAACGGCGCATCTGCGCCGCACGCGCACGCCCGCGCAGGAGCTGCACTGCCATCCCGTGGGCCACACGGGGCTCCAGTTCCTCCTCGGCCCCTCCGCGACACCGGAGCAGAGCCACATGAGCCGCGGCGCTTCTCTCGCCGTCCGACTGAGGCCTGGTTCGGCGCTGTTCCCGGCTGCGAATCCTCAGCGTGGAGGCAGGGCAGAGGGAAGCGCTGCGACGGGCGTCTCAAAACTTCGCGAGGTCTGCGATTGCCCGACGCTTTTCGTCGGTCGACAGACCCTTGCACCAGCAGATTTCGACACGTCCGACTACACTGCACCTGCCTCACTGACTTCCATGCCAAATGCGAAGCTCTAAGCTCCGTGAGCTCTGAGGCACCGAAGGTGGAGGTGGAGGATGAAGTTGAAGACCCTGAGGATGGCAGCGTGTCTCGATCTCAGAAGACCCGCTGTTGAAAACGGTTCCTGCAGGAAGCCGAAGCCAAAGCCGCAGCGCAGGCAGCGGCCGTTGTCCTCGATTGAATTTGCCTTCACTGTTGCAACAAGTTCTGCCTTCTTGATTGTCTGACGCATCTGTCTGTCGTAGCGTCTATCGGGTGACATGACCGCAGAGTTCTCGGGGTGTGGTTTTGGCTTCAGGTGGAGAAGCTGCGGCAGCTCTTTGCCGAGAACGACTACGATTCAGGGGCCCAGCCAACAAGCGACTCGTTGCTTTCTTGTTTGCAAAATTCGTCGAGGACGAGACGGCGCCCAAGGAGGAGCCGAGCGGCGCCGGGGTCCGCTCCACGGAGAGATGGGACGAGACGAGCGAGGATGGAAGGGCTGCTGGCTGCGGTGCTGCCGCGTGTCTGAGGTGCTGAGGAAGCTGCTGCAGGAGCTGGCCAAAGCCGTGAGGCGCCGCGCACTGCATTGCAGCATGGGACCATGTGCCTACCATGTGATGCCCATGCTCGGGCAGGGAGACGCCCAGCTTGAGTTCCGTGGACTGCTTCGGCGTTGCTCGGATGCAACGCTCGCGAAGTCTTTGTGAGTCACACTCGCAAACTCGCAGACGCCATCCGCCATCGCATCGCAGGAGATGGTGCCCTGGGACGTGAAACTGGAGAGCCGCGTATCACCTCACCTGCATGGAGTCCTGCACCCGCCCCTCCTCCTTTTCTGGCTCCAGGACATCACCCGAGCTGCAGAGGAGCACCAGGTGGAAGCGCATGCACACACCGAATCCTTTGGGTTTTACGCGCAGCTTTGAAGGCCCAGAAGCAGAAACGCCTCGCCGAGAGCCAGGTGCAGGGGTTCTGAGGTCTGCAGATGTCTGCAGGGATTGTCGGGCTTCAGGCTTAAGGGTCAGCATTTCGGAAGCACCGATGTACGAACCAGTCCGTTTCTTCGCTTGTCGAGGAGGCCGGCTCGCGCACGGCCTCCGACGTCATGAAGGCCCCCTGGGCACAAATAGCAGACGCAGACCTCTACAGACCCCTGGCTATCCAGGACCAGATGGCAGAGATCACCTCCATCCTCCAACACATGCAGGAGAGTCACCCCCCAGCCTTTCTAACGAATCAGACAGTGCGAGGACGTCATCATTCAAGCATTCAAGCATGCGGAGTAGCAGCCAGGATCAACAGAAAAGCAACTTACACAACTCAAGGCTAGACTTCGCGCGGTCTGGCAGCGACTTTCAAAAGAACCGTTCAACACGATGGAGCCAATGAAGCCCCGGACACTAGCACTCAGAACTACGCTGTAGGTGATCCCTATGCCTTTATATATGATCATATATCGGCACAGCGGCATTGACCTTTGAAAAGGGTGCCGAGGGTGTTGGGCAGGAGAGTGGCATCGAGGGTGTTTTGCCTGGAGAGGAGGCTTCGCAGAAGTGCGCAGCCGAATGCAGTCCTTCCGCAAAATGCCGCGGTATCGGAGAAAGCTCAGGCCGACCTTCCTTCCTATCCGCTCCTACATCGCAAGGCGGCTGCACTCGGCGCTGGGAGAGGCGAGGGATGGGAAGCCGCTTCGCGTGGGCTATTTGCGGTCTTTGCGGCGAGTCCTCAGAGGCGCTCTTCGAGTGCGAGCGTTTCAAGTCCAAAGAGAACAAGGCGCGGCGGCGCGGCGGCGCGGCTCGCAAACGCAGGCAGCGGAGCCGCGGCTGATACCTCGCGCCGCGAGGCTCTCGACACGCCGCAGGGTGAGATGGCCTTCCTGGCCATGTGAGCCCAGCTACGCGACGCCATTCGACGCCATGGGACACCGCGCTGGCAGGTACCTGAAAAAGAAGTTGGAGGCCGAGGCGGAGGCCGTCGAGGCCGCCGCGGCCGACCAGGCCGAGGCCCAGTGAAAGCCGCCAAAGCCACCCCGAGCGGCCGCAGCCTACGAGCCGTCTCACTCCCGTCTCACCCGCATCACGACCGCATACCGAAACTGCGACTGCGAGACTGGTATCTGCAAACTCAGGGATCCAGAAAGAGGGCCGAGGACTGAGGGCTTCGGGCGACTTGAGAAGTTGGTTTTGTATCCGTGACAATACACACCGCAGATGGCGGACAGCCAGCATCCTGTTGCATGCTGTGCATGCTATTGACCAGCGTCGGCGCATTCTTGCGGCTCGAACTTGAATCCATTAAAAAGGGGGGAAGGTGACGGGACGCATTCACCGCGAGAGTTCGCGTCGCTTTCCTTCCCCTCAAAACGTTCAGATAGTGGGCCCCGGTGGTGCGCTGCTCGGCCGCCTTAAACGGCTGCCGGCTCGTACCAGGCTGGGACCCACCCCTGAGGTCTGAGGTCAGTGAGCTTCATCTCCTCGCTTTCAGGGCCCGGCCCTCTTAGACGGAGAATGACCAACGGCCCCAGCCCAACGGGAGTCCAACGCTTTGCAGGTTTTGATAATGCGCGAAGCCGTTCAAGGTGCGAAGCCGCCGTCCACCGTGGCGAACGGCCGGTATCAGATCGAGAAGAAGCTGGGTGCAGGCAGCAAGCAGCGAGATGCCCTTGCAGCCCAAACCACCGGAATCCTAAACCCAAGCCGTGCGTGCGGGCCGTGCGGGTGGCCTGCAGGTTGTTTTGGGGAGGCCAGCGCCTGTTCTGGCACAAAGTGGGTGTAGCTTCTGTGCTATGCTGCAAAATGTGTTATGCAGGTCTGGCAGGGTAGGGACAAACAAACCAACGAGAAGGTCGCGGTGAAGTTCGAGGACGTTCGGCGAGAGCGGAATCATGGTCTCACCAAGTCACGGCATCTTTTGACAGTCTGGAGCGGCCCGAGGACTCCTCGGGGCATGCGCTGCAGTTGGAGCACGAGCAAGCGGTCTTGAAGCGCCGAGCTCAACGGCCGCGTCAAGCGGTCTTTCTCCCTACTTTGCAACCACGCCGACTTGTCTTCTGCTTCGAAGGCTCATGGCTCAGCCACGTAGGCCTCAAGGCTTTGCAGAGCTCTTTTGGTGTGGACAGGAGGCCGGCATGCATGCTAAGCGGCTAAGTTTCAAGCCCAGGGTCGTGCGCGGGTCCGGCTCTGGAAACGCTGCTTCTGAGCCGCATCTCGCGCCAGCAACGCTTCATGTGCCTGGTCATGGAGATGCTGGGCAAGTCCCTCGAGGATACATCACCCCAACGTTTGTGCTACTTCTGGGAAGGAGCGCTGAAGCTTGAACAGTGCCAGGACCGGCTACAAGGCCTTGGAGGACAAGGAAACCCTCCACGCTTCAATCCTCAGCGCGAGCACCCAGCCGTAGGAAGGCTGAGGCCGGTCGGGTCTAGACAGCCTAGAGGCCTAGAGCACACCGAGGACAGCAGTCCTCGTTGCGGACCAAGTGCTGCGGCGCATTGAGTACTTGCACTCCAAGGCTTGGCTTCAAAACAATCGTGGCTTCGTGTAACTTGGGGCTTGTCGGGGCTATTGAAGCCACGGCCAGGGCATCGTCCATCGCGACATCAAGCCAGAGAACTTTATGTTCGGAATCAAGAGCAGGGCCGGGAACCACAGGGAGGCTTGTGCTCGTCTCCCGAAGCATCGTGCTCCAGTCTCTCCTCAGGTCCACCACCTTTATCTGATCGATTTCGGTCTCAGCAAGAAGCAAGCCGCAGAAACGTTGCGATATCGATCAGATGCATCCGGTTTTGGGCTGGCAGGTACTTCGACCAGAAGCATGTAGCGCTTCGGACGCAGCTCAGCCTCACAGGGACGGCCAGGCGACAGAGATCCCCTGCAGTCTCCAATTCCTCGGTGGTAGCTCGGAATCAGCCAGGTATGCATCCATCAATGCCCACAAGGGCGTTGAGCAGAGTAGGCGCGACGATCTGGAGGCAGACCCGGAGCTAACGAGTCGTCTAAGTGTAGATGAAATGGGTCACACCTGGATCACGGTTAAGAAATTCAATCATATCAATACTGTATCGTCTGATGAAGCGGAATTTGCGTGGGTGATGGTGCCCGCTGGACGATATCCCGGCACTGGAAGCTTTCTGCTTGGACAAGCTGCCAAGCTGTGAAATGGCCGGACATAGCAGACGGACATAGCACCCCATGGGTGTGCAGATGCCAGAGCAGGGCCTGCTTCTTGGGAACTCCCAATGCAAATTGATAATTCAAGACGTCAAGAGATAGCTCTGTGTCCGTCTCTGTGTGTCTGTTTCTCTGTCAGTCTCTTTGCGTCTGTCTGTCTCTCCGTGTCTGTCTGTCTGTCTCTGTCTCTTCGTCTCTCTTCTCTGTCTGTATCTGTCTGTGTCTGTTTGTCTCTGTATGTGTCCGTCTGTGTCCGTCTGTGTCTGTCTGTGTCAGTCTGTGTCTGTGTCTGTCTGTGTCTCTCTGTGTCTGTCAGTCTGTGCGTCTGTTTGTGTTATCCTGCTGTACATGCGATGACGTGCATTCATGAAGGTTTTTCATGCATCCTTTGTTTTTCGTATTTTCGCTTTCTCCTTTTTGCTTGATGCAGGGGGCGCGAGGTCCTATCACAAAGCTCGCGCCAACGAAGCTCTTTGTCATATGGACAGGTAAACGTACCTGCGACCAGTTCCTGGGTGCAAGAGCGCAGCTGGATTGGTCACAATTGAAACCATCATGATGATTTTCTCAGTTTGTTCGAAACAGTTTATTTTCTTTGGAAACTCTGGCAGTTGTGCAATGTACATGTCTTTCGCTTGGCTTGAAATATGTACGTCACCAATGGAAGGCAGGCGGATCAGTGGAAGCCTTTCCAGTTGTGTTCGGCAAAAGCTCCCTCATGAGGGCCTTGTCGCTTTTCGGCGAAGTTGCCGGCCCACCGGGGTGCTTGTGTTAGCAGGATCGGAGATCACATCCCGTTTCACAACATGTTCAGGGGAAATCACTGTGTGGAGATCAGCCTTTTGGAAATCACAGTGGAGATCATAGTGGAGATCATAGTGGAGATCACCTGTACAAAGCTGCGATGGATCGTGAACGAACCCCCCGTCGCAATCCCTACTGGAGCTCCTCCAATCCTGACGTGGTTCCACCTCCTCCTGCGAGTTGGCAAAATCCCGTGCCCCCTCCGGCTATACCCACGGCCCGCCCCGACGGTGCTTCAGCCGCAAAATCTCACGTGGCAGCCCAATCCCCGTGCTGCACAGATTATGAGCGTTTCGCCAACCCCTCGCATTCCAGGACTGCCATCCCAACCTGATGCTAAGCCACCCAAAGTCTTTGGACCTATGCTACCCGCTGAGTTCTGTCAGAATCCGAATTATGTGGATTCACGCTCTATTGCAGGCTTGAACCTGGCTCGTTGGGTTAAGAAGACTGAGTGGTCGGTTCGAAAGCAGATTGACGGATGCCCAACACACATGGTACCGCTCCATTCATTGCTTTATCAAGGTTGGAATTCATATTGGATTCGTCATATTGCTGAAGGAAAGCCGACTTTCTTTGCAGGCTTCAAATCGATTGCTGAGATCGTATTCTGTCATGCATTGTTCGGCAAATTGCGAGATGAAGAAGTCGACTTGGATGAGCTTGCTTCCATCGTGCAGGGTACCAGTGACGCTGCTTCGAGGAGTGGTGCTTCGGACTCCAAAATCGCAGGCCACACATCTGTTGGCACAGAAGGTTGTTGACTACATGATAGGTCTGTATCCTCAGGCTTCAGTTGACACGGAGAAGGCAGCCATGGCGAATCAGATCCAGATGCTTCAACAACAACTTGCGAGCTTTGAAAATGCTTCCCCCTCCCGCACCTCTAACCAGCCTACCGCAGATCAGAAAGGGCTGCCGATTTAGGAAAGCCCCCCTGGACCAGTGTCAGAGTCAACAACTTCTGTTCAAAAAGTTCCTGATGGTACGACTCGTCTTCTTCGTGGCCAGACGGCTGAGCCGAAAAGTAATCTTATGCAGGCCTTCCAGAAAGGCAAACCATCGGGGAGCCAGGCAGAACCGTTGAGTATTGAGAATGGGGAGGTTGAGACGCAAGGTCGCAGCCCAGGAAGTTCTCAGCTTGAGTATGGCACGTCCTCGCATGTCGGACAGGTTGTGAAGAGTGTTCTCACGGATGTGTCCAAACGCCATTTCTTGACACGCGGTTGGAAAAGTTGCAAGTCGGACAAGGAAGTGTCGGCATGGATCGAAGGATTGACCTTGAGCAAAAATAACCGCAAGAAGCTGGAGACATGGACATCCCATGTCCAACGATGGCATGCGGACCTTCCTTCCAATGAACAGGCCGAATTGGATCAGGTTGTTGCCAACTGGGGCATCCCCATTCGTGACGTTGCTAAACTTAAAGCAGGCTCATTGCTGCGTATTTTAGCTGTCGGAACAGTTCTTGTGGCTTGACTACAAGCCACACTGGATGACAGAGAGCGATATCGCAGCGGCAATCCACCGCAAGGATGGTGGCAAAAGCACCGAAGTGACGTGGACTTGCTTCGGAATGCTCACCTCTTTTTCCAGAGTGTCTACGAGACACCCACCATGTTCGGACAACAATGGATGGACATTGTCATTTGGGTCCGTCGAAAGCTCCTTTTGTTAGCATGTGAGTTCGGGCTTGTACAGTCGCCGTTGACCTCCCAGCTTCGTTTAAAGTGTTCCAGCTACACCTGGAAATTCTTCCAGACCAAGTCGGTGATTTATTGCCGCATTTTTCTCCAACCCGAGTTGCAGCAATTCATGTATGTTGGATCTACATCCCAGACGTTGGGCGAGCGCGAACGTACTCGATGGGGGAAGTACAAACAAATCTGTTCTGGCAAGTCAGTATGTGGTGAGCTTTCGCTTTTCTGGCATTACCGACGACGGAATTATCATCTGGCCATGCTCCCTGGGTTCGGTCGCTGGTAAAAGCTAAACATGCACACATTGCCAATTCCGACCCTGTCAGATGTGTTCGCAGATTTGTGACATCGTGGAGAACTTTCAGGCGTTTTCGACGTCGGAACCTCCAGCTCACTGGACTGACGCCATCTGTCTTTCGCTCAACACATATAATCCAGAATATTGTCTACAGTTATCAGATTCTGTTTGACTTGGCGTCAGACGGCTTGAAATCTTTTCTTGCCCAAAAGTATTTACGCAGCAACAGAGTCGACTCTGATGTTCTCTACAGACTGTTTCGGATGGCCACTCATTTGGGTGACCCTTTCTACGAGACGATCTGCAGGTCCAGATTGAACACTGTGCTGCAATTTCGACAGCTGAGATGCCCGACCACATGTCGTCCTCTGTCCACTCCGTTTTTGTTGCCGGAGGCAGGTTTCAAGCGCTTGGTTCGTGGCTTGTTGGGTGATATCTTGGATGTTTCGTCTGACAGACTGTTGCCATACCACATCCCAACGACTGCGCTTGTTGCCAGAAGTCACCCAAAGATCAAGGACGTTCTTTTTTCGCACAAACGAATCCTGCAGTTGTGGGACCCACATGAGGACCCACGCAAGGCCGGAGTCATGTGTTGCTGTGCTGAGCTTCTCCAACGCCACCCCCACTTGACAGTGGTTCAAGGTCATATTGCATCTTCCGCTAGTTTGTTGTCTCTGCCGCCTGAACTTGCTCAGTTGGCTCAGTCGAGCTGTGCCAATCCGGTGTTTATGACCGCTACGGATCATTGGAAGATGTTTCATGAGGACGTGAAGCAGTGGATAGCCCATCATGGTCTGGTACATTACCCGACAAAGGATATTCGATGTGCTTGGCAGAAGGCTTGGGATATAAGTGATTCATCTAGGCCCGGGGGGCGTGACGCGCAAGAGGGTTCAGGGCATTTGGAGCATGGGTTCCAAGCCCTGGACTTGAAAATGATTTGTTGTAGTAGGGTTTGATTATTTTTCCATCGATCAGTCAGCGCAAGAACAACAGCCTCTCCAAACAAGTATCGTCCCTTCCCAAGAAAACGCGGCACGTTTTGGAACAAAATCGTCGTGAAAGCTACAAACCTACAACTTGTGATGTAGCCAACCCAAACTGCAAACCGCAAGCAAGCATATCTTCCTGACTTTGTCGGCTGTTTTATGATTGGGAATCCGAATCGCAGCACAGTTCAGGCACATGACTCACGTGACAGTGACAGCTTGACAACTTATCATCCAATCTTGCAAGAGGACGTAGGCAGTAGGCATAGCCTAGCTTGCTTGAGGTGTTACATTGGATAAGCCAAGATAAGCCAGATCTTTTCGTTGTGTAGTGTCATAGTGCTATGGCAGAGCCTGCCATCTTTAGGCTTCCAGATCCTGGGGACGGTGAGCTTGAGGACAGAGAGTCCGAGTCAGAGGCCGAGGAAGCTCCCAGGGCTCCCAGGTCTGCAGGTGCCCTGCGGACTGTTCGATATAGGGACAGACTTCGAAATGCTTCCCGCGCAGAGGTTTTGTTTCTGTATGCGAAAACCTGTGGCGACGAATCAGAATCTCTGGGCACCGCTGCTGCAGGGAATTATTTGTTTTGTGTTGCTGAGCTTGGGGGAAAATGCATCAAGCCGTTGGGTGCCCAAGAGCACTTGCAGCAGCAAGATACTTGGCGAGCTCGGCGTCAGAAACGTCGCGATCGAGATTTCGCCGCTAAGCAGATGTCCCTCCAGAACCAGACAACCCGAAACCAGATGTTCAAGTGCTGTTTGAAGTCTCTTTTTCGTTTCAGGGCAGCTGTCCAGTTGGGGCCTGCCCAGGCTGCAGTGGCAGGTGCCTGGTGCCGGGCACCTGCAGCTGCTAACCAGGGTGCGGTGACTCCTGTTCCTGCGATGCCCGCCTTGGCTGGCAGGTTGGCGGTTTTGCCTGCAGGGCAAGCGCAATGGGTTTTTCAAGCTGCTGCGCCAAGCGTCATCTTCGAAGCCGTTGCAGATCGCCAGGGCCTTTACACTTGCTTTGCAGACGGACAGGCGGCGGAGCCTGAAGTAGGCACTGCGAGGCGTTACCTAGGGCGTCCTTTCTGGATGGTTCGCTTGCCACCAACTGTCATGAAGCATTTGATGGAGATAGGCAAGGAGTTCGTGGTTCCTGGTGGGCTTGTGACTTCTTTGGGGCACCAGTTGCCCGGAACCGTTCCTGCTGCGGCAGAAGGAAGCCCCAGTGATGGTGCCGACAGTGGTTCCTCTTCCTCCTGCGAGATGAAGAAAGTGCGCAGGCCGGCCATGCAAGAAATCCTGTTGGGAAAGCTCGCTTACAAGCTCAGCTCAACGGTAGGCATTCAAGATGTGGTTCGCACCGTCCTTCGAATGTTAGTGCCAGATAGTTTAGGTCTGGCAGACAACATGAAAGTGTCGCATGGGCATGTGCGGAATATCTTGCTAAAGCTTGATGCCTTGCATTCCTTGTCTCGCCGGTTCCTTGCCCCACCAGGTGGTGGGGCAGACAAGTCGCTGCGAATTGTCAGGTACATCAGTCCTGACAGTTCCCCGCAAGCGAATTATGATTATTTTTGTGCGACAGAAGAGTTGCTGCTCTATCGTTCCGACGAGCTTCCAAGGGATGCGGGTGGAAATGTAGCTCCTTTCAAAGGGTTTGAACACCAGAGGCGTTCGATGTTGTGTACAACAATTGCGAGAGGACAAGGAAGCACAGCTTCGAAGGCAAGCAAGATGGTACATATGATTGCCGTTGAGAGTGGTGCGTCTCTCTTTGAGACGTATCGTTCGGAAGTTCGGGGCTTCTTAAGCGATCAAGGAACGGAGCGAGGCATAGCATCGTTTCCAGTCCGCAGTTGCTCTGAGGTCCAGAGTATTGTGGGCGCTCAAGCTTTGGCGAGCGAGGCAATACAGGAGGATTTTCGTGAATTGCCGCTCTTTCATTCCGCTCTACACATACCGGGAACACTACACATAGTGTTTTACGCACTGGAATTCAGCTTGAAGCAGCTTGAAACCTGGCAAAAATTCGAGAAACAGTTGAACAGCATCACCCGTGTGTGCAAAGAAAAGAGTTACTCAGAAGTAATTCTTGTGAGAATGATGAAGCATGCGAGCCCCGAGGAGAGACGGTTGTTGCATCGGATGGATGACCTCTTAGACTGGAGGTGGGATTCGCTCGCAAGAGTGCTGAAGGTTTGGGTTCCTCTATATCCCACCTTCAAGAAATATTGGAACCCAGCTGTTTTTGGTGGGGACAGCTCGTCAGTCACAATTCGAGCTGTGACGGAAGCGTTGGCAGACGAGTGCCATTTCGACATGGCAGTGTGGACGCATCAGTTCTCTGCCGAGGCCACCAGGCTGGCCCACTTTTTCGAGGGTTGTCACTGCCATCAGGAGCAGCTGACAGACCCAGAAAACCGGGAAAAGATAAACTGTTGTTGGAAAGGCAGGCGCTTGCCTTGGCTTGCGGTTGGTAATCTCCAGGGAGCTTTGCAAGATGCCATGACAAACAACGAGATTAGTGTTCTTGCGCATCTCTTGTCTCGTTCTAGTGAAACTGCAAGTCGGATGGCGCACATGGCGGACACGTGCAACAAAGTATTTGTTGCCGTTATCCAGCAAAAGCTTGCGTATGCTCAGCAAGTACCATGGGTGTTTGCCGCAGCGTTTGCGGGGTATATGGGCGAGACTTGGGGCCGAGTGAAAAAGGTTCTTCGGCCACATCTTCAGAACGTTGACAACATGATCTCCAGTGGCCAAGTCGGCGCTCTAGACTCTGTTACACATGCTTTGTTTGGACCAACCGACACAGGCCGCATGCTCCGAGAGTTTCTGAACTCGGAGGATGACGTGCCCCTTGATCGATGGCCAGCGTTGTTTTGGAGAGTACAGGAATATGCCTTTGTTTCTTTGTCCGAGCGACACACGGAGAGAGAGCATGTCGGTGTCAAGGTTGCAGCAAACCGTGGTCTCACAAAGGCTGGGCCTGCAGTTGTCTGCAGCCGCAAGCGCAGAGATCAAGTGTTGGAGATGCTGGAAGATGAGAAACAGCTCGCTTTCTTGGTCAACAATTGGCGCAGCAGGCGCCTTTGGAGTAGCCTGCTGGAGCACATGCTCACTCACGAAGAGGTTCGACTTATGGACACGCCAAAGAGGCTTTCCCGCTTGTACGGGTATAGCGAGGAAGACCACTTCAAAGATTGCGAGGACTCTGTTCGTGCTGATGCCGTTTACCGCCAAACTTTGAGAGATCAGACTTTGTTACTGGCCGGAAGCTTCAAGCTTCCGAGTGCTTCCCACCAGGTAGTGAACTGGCTGAAAGGCCATTTGGCGACGGGCGTGTTTTTCAGTGTGTCCACGCATGTCTTTGAGCTACTTGTCGACAGGGGTCGGAGATGTGAAGACCCAGCCGCATCCTTCAGAACCGACGTGCTGCTGTCTATTCTGCGAGCCGACGTCCACCCTCGGGTAAGTGATCGTGCTTCGGTTTTCTGCTCGGTGCTGGATGCCAGGCCAGAAGCAAGAACGGATGCTCGTGTTTCGCGACCTGCTGCACACATCACAGACCCGAAGCTAGGCCGCCGCAGCTGTGTGGTTGTGCAGCGTTTCCACGACGTGGATGTTTCCCAGGGCGTGCACGGCCTTGGTGGAGATGTGCGGGTGGCGTGCACGAATGTGCGGATCGAGGTTCTCGACTTGGCACGGGTGTGCACAGCAGAGAACTTGAAAGCCTTTTGTGCAAACTGTTTGCTCTGGCGTGCTATGCCTGCGGAACTGGCCTTGGCTCTGGGAGACGAGTCCACGCAGCCAGGTTTGCTGCAGGAGCCGCAAGTGCAGAAACTTCCAGAGATTGTCTTAGACAGCGATCCTGCCTGCTTGTTGAGTCGACCGCCTCCGGATCCGCATGTGGAAGATGCCCTCGACATCCTGCACCCCCCTGCCCATGTCGTGCAGAATGCGGACGACTCTGCGGTGCTGCAGGTCTACGGTGCTCCGTGTAGCGACCGAGAAATGCAAGCTATCAAAGAGTTGCTGCGAGCAAGGGCCATCGGCATTGAATCTGCTGTGTATGCCACAGACCTTGAACACTTCGATGCTGTTGCACTGGAAGGCTTGCGTGACCGAGGTCTTGTCATCTGCGAGACTGATATGTTCTCAGATGTATCCGTCGCCTTGACGGGCAAGTTGACCTACAGTGCAAGCTTGGTGCTGGCACGGCCATTGTTGCTTTGGGAGCTTGACCAAACGACTTTGACTCGAGGCCAGATGCCAGGCCGATCAAAGTTGGAGTTAATTCGTTTGTTGTTTGTCTTGGGCTGGGAGCCAGGGCTGGGCCGGGAAGCGTGGCATCGCAAGCAGGGAGAGAAACGTCTTCCAGATGACGTTCTAGTTTGCAGCCTCCCCTTCCTCAGAGCTTTGATGCTGAGTCGGCTTATATGGGAAAAGCCCGGCAACTTGTCGGGCATTTACTTGAAAGGCCCCCAGCAGTATTATGAGTTCTTGGTGGATCAGGACGATCTCAGCAGCTTGCGGGATGCTTCTGCAGAGGAAATCAATGCTCGGTTCGCGCAGAAGAAAAAAAGACCTGCTGGCCGCAGCTTGACAAGAGATGCGGCTACAGGTCTGGAGCTTGACCCAGAGGCTGATGATGCCGAGTTAGAAGAGCTTGTGCAAGAGCTGCCTGAAAAGCTCATGCAAGCAGAAGAGCCGCAGCCAAGCATGGCCAGCGGTGGTAGACGTGTCGCTCCTCTAGAAATCGACTTGGGAGGCGGTAGGACACAGGTAGTGCATTTTGACAATTTCACACACTCCAGCGGTCAGCTCCGAGCATTCGTTGCTTGCGAGACACACAGCGGCTGCCGCTTGTACACGTTTGTACGGCATCATGGCAGCCGCAGGCGGGCTGCTGCCTTTTTGCTTGCTTGGCAAATGCGAGCAGCTCACCACCGCAGAGCTGAAGCTCACATTGCGGACAAGCCAAGTGAAGAGCAGGTGGATGCCATGATGCTCCGGATCGCTTGATGCAACACACGGCAGTCAGAGTGAACGTTTGAGGGTTTTTTTTTAGTTTGTTGCATTGTTTGGATGCAGGACACGTGTTGGCTGACTGTGCTGCTTCCGTTTGCTGCAAGAGTACCTCGGTCACTGTGTGCATGTGTGACTGCCCGTGCATGTGTGACTGCCCGCAGCCCCTTTCGGCTCCTTTGGGCTGTGCAGGGGCCAATGCATTGGCATTTCTCCCACTACGGAAGGCCGGCAGGGAGAAGTGTAGTCGAGTCTCGAAAGCTTTGCGGTGAGAAACCTGTAAAGTTACAAAGCTTTGAAACCCAGGCAGTCCTTAAGCCCCTAGAGTAAGAAGCTTGCTAACTCACAGAGCCAGATGCGGCCACCGTGTGCTCACCTGGGTTTCGGGCTGCGTTTTCGACGCTAACCCATTTCCCAGGCTGCACTATGGATCGGCACGCTACCTGGTCTGTGGGCTGCACGAAGCTACCCTGGAGCTACAGGATGCACAGTAGTCAGTTTAGCGTCCCCGCTATAGGTGTAGCAGCAAGCCAGGTTGCAGTTGCAGGTGTCTGTTGGAACAGATTAGCCTCTCAAAAGCAAAGCAAAACCCCCAACACCTTAAAAAAAATTGCTCGCAGGTGGGTGCCGGTGGTCTACAACCAGTGGGGCGAGGCGCAGCTCCCACACCGGCCGCCTGCGCTGTTGCCGCCGCATCCGCCGGCGGCGGCGGCCCCTTTTGCTGGCACGGGTGCAGCCCACGGTGCAGCCACAGGTGGCGGTGTTGCTGCTAACCCCTCGGGGGCTGCAGCAATGCCGGCGCCGAAAAAAAATCCTGGCCAGGTGGACCTAAGCAGCGAGGATGACGACGAGGAGTCTGAGGAGGAGGAGGCGGCTAAGAAGGACGAGGACAAGGAGCCGGACTCCCAGTCGCGGAAGGATGATATCGTGGTGGTGGACCACGACCAGGAGAAGAAGAAAGAAGAAAAGGGTGGCAAAAAGGAGGAGGCTGCTCAGAAGCGCAAGAAGAAGAAGGAGAGCAGCTCTTCCAGCGGAGGCAACAGTGAGTCCTCCAGCAAGAAAGAAAAGCCCCGTGCAGCCCCCGCTGCCAAGGAGGCCAAGCAGGCACACGAGGCCCAGGCCGACGAGAAGAGAGCGGCAAGGCCAAGGAGCCCAAGGAAGACAAGGAGGCGGAGGCGGCGGAGGGCGAGCCTGCAGCGCGGCCTGCGAGGAAGAACCGCAGCCGGCACTCAGCGGACGAGGCAGATGTCGTTCGCTGCGAGCACTGCTGGATGTGTGTGAAGAAAGAAGGCCTGCAAAGCCACCTGGAGAACAGCGAATACTGCCGCCAGTGGCGGCTCCACGCCGCCGGCCAAAATGTGGCCGGCCAAAAGCCTGCGGAAGAGCAGGCGAGCTCGGGTGCGTGCCAGTGCAGACACTGCTCACGGCAGTTCATGCGCAGGTGGGACATGCTGCAGCACTGCCTGGGCACGCACCCGAACTCCGACGAGGCTAAGGAATGCTTGCAGGCCATGCACAATAAGCGGAAGAAGCAGCCATCAAAGGAGGACCGGGCGGCTAGCATGAGCCAACACAGGCCGCCGGTGCAGCTGCGGAGCAGGGGGCGTGTGGAGGAGCCGCCGCACAGACGTGGCCCGCGGCGTGAAGAGAGCCGAGATGATGATGGCAGCCGTGGGCGGCGGAGAAGCCGTGGTGAGAGCCGCCAGAGCCGTGGCCAGGCAAGCTCTCGAGGCGGCGGCCAGGCAAGCTCTCGGGGGAGCCGCAAAGGCGGCGGCCAGGCAAGCTCTCGAGGGAGCCGCAAGAGCTCCCGCGGCAGCGAGCACATGGACCGACGCTTCTCGGGCCGCTCCCGCAGCCGCAGGGCGAGCGAGCCTGCGGCAAGCTCCGGCCGCCGTGGGCGCGATTCGCGGAAGGAGCCGACAGGGCAGCTAGGCCGCAGCAAATCATCGCCAAGGGATCGGGCCATGGTGGCGGGTCAGAGCCAGAGCCCTCAGATCCCCCAGATGATGCTGGCCTTTTTCGATGCCACCACGAAGATGCTGGACATGCAGCAGCAGTAGTCCTAACATCGAAGATTTTTGGGCGAGAGGAAGAATCCTGGGCCTGGTGTCCTAAGATCCGTGCGATCCTGGACCCAGAGCCCTAAGATTCGGCTCTCGCAGAGGAGGCTAGGCCGCGGTAGCTAGGCCGTAGAGCCAGGCCGTAGGGTAGGAGCCCGACTGGCCTTCACCCGCCCTTAGCTCACGAAAGCCTTCAGGCCCCAAGCAAAGCTACAGCTACTACAGCTTTTAAGCTTTTAGCCGGAAACCGGAAACCTGAACCCTTAGGCACCAAGCAAAATACAGCTACTACAGCTTTTAAGCTTTTAGCCGGAAACCTGAACCCTTAGGCACCAAGCACAACTGAAGCTGAAAAGGCCAAGTCGGAAGTAGCTCCAGTGTTCCACTCACCAAGCACTGCCGAGCACAGTCGTGCCAAAAAAGATTCGTTCTCAGCAGGCTGGCGGGGCGTGTGGTCAAGTGCACAGCCAGAAAAAACTACAACCAGGAATCATCACGGTCGAGCGTTTGTTGCAAAACAACTACTGAAGCGTTTCAGTTTTGTTTTTGCCGGGCATGTTGAACTCATAAAGGGTTTTAAGGCCACAAGAGGACAGAACACAGAAAACACAGTGAATTCTCAAGGGGGCGGCCCTGGGGGTCTTCGGGGGGGCTTTGGGGGCACTGGGAGGGCTCTGGAGGGCGTTTGCAGGGGATTTAGCACCTGTTTGGGGGTCTCGTGTTCGGGGTGTCCGGGGTCGTGTCCGGGTCGTGTCCGGGATGTCCGGGGTCGTGTCCGGGATGTCCGGGGTCGTGTCCGGGATGTCCGGGGTTGTGTCCGGGATGTCCGGGGCGGGGCCCGGGAAAGGTGTCCGGGGCGGGGCCCGAGGGTGTCTGGGGCCGTTTTGGGTGTCCCGCCCATGTCCCGCCAATGTCCCGCCATGTCCCGCCCATGTCCCGCCATGTCCCGCCCGTGTCCCGCCATGTCCCGCCCGTGTCCCGCCATGTCCCGCCGTGTCCCGCCATGTCCCGCCCGTGTCCCGCCATGTCCCGCCCATGTCCCGCCCATGTCCCGCCCGTGTCCCGCCATGTCCCGCCCATGTCCCGCCCGTGTCCCGCCCATGTCCCGCCAATGTCCCGCCATGTCCCGCCCATGTCCCGCCATGTCCCGCCCATGTCCCGCCATGTCCCGCCCACGTCCCGCCATGTCCCGCCCTTGTCCCGCCCGAGTTCCGCCCAGCCCCGGTCCCGCCCACGTCTCATGATGTCCTTTGCGTCCTCTAAACTCTTTGCACAGCAGCCGTTTTCTCTCGAGGCTTTGTTTGTGTTAGCAGCAAAGAAAAAAAGCGCCAGGGGTATGCCTGGCAAACGCAAACGAGGTGACTCTCCAGTGCATGAGACCGATGCGACCCAGCCGCAGGCGGGCAGCAGTGTGATCACTGATGCGACCCAGCCGCAGGCGGGCAGCAGTGTGATCACTAGTGTGATCACCCGCCGCACACAGGAGCGATCCGAGCGATCCCGATCCCCGCGAGGGGAAAGGGTTGCGACTATCATTTGGAAGTGGTGCTGGAAACGAATGGAGACGGATGATGGGACCATTTGGTGGTGGCAATGGTGGAAGGAAGGGTCAACGAATGGAGACAGATGATGGGACCACTTGGTGGTGGCAATGGTGGAAGGAAGGGTCCAGAATCTGAGTGCGGTTTTTTTTCGGCAATAAGAGCTTGCGGTGGAATGCTGGAATGCTGTCGCCGACAATAAGAGTTTGCGGTGGAATGCTGTCGCAGACAATAAGAGTTTGCGGTGGAATGCTGTCGCCGAATTGCATGACTCAGAGATTGCATGATTGCCTGTCTCAAGGCCTTGCATGGAAATGGAAACAAGTGCATTGCAAGGGTAGACTGTGCCACCCAATTGCCTGACTGAGAGACTGCATTGCATGATTGCTTGTCTTTTTTCCGTGGGTGGAAATGTTTACATCAGTCCTGAGTTTGTCACTGAGAGTGAGCAAAGCCAGTTCCAAGAATAGCGTAGACAGCCGGAGCCATCATCCTGATTTCTTTTCTTTCTCAAGCCAAGCTTTTGTTTTTAGTGGGTTGCAGCATGATGGAGACTGGGGCAGCGAAGCTCCTGTATGCGATGAGTCCTTGGAGCTCAAAGCTCGGGCGTGCACCTGTGGTTGCTGAGCCCTGTGTAGGCATCTCTGCTTATCGAGAGTGGATGCAGAAAGCAGGGCTTGTTTACAGGCCATGCGCAGCCTACGATTTCAACATGGACTTGGTGCCGTTTTGGCGAGCTCTGCGAAACCAGGGTTTGCAGGGGACTTCGGAAGTCAAACTGGGTTTGCAAGAAGGGGACATCGAGAGGAATGTCGTGCTGTCAAAACTGTCAAGTGCGGAAGGCTTGATAAGCGGGCCCCCTTGTCAGCCTTTTGCCTCCACAGGTTTAAGGCAGGGCGCCCAGGACGAAAAAGGCCGCACAGATGTTTTTGAATCAGTTGTAAGCATGATATGTGAGGAAGGCTCGCGTGGCTGTCTTCTGTTTTTCATTCTGGAAAACAGCTCACATTTGGCTGATGCCAACCATGCTGAGTTTCTGAATGAGATGCTCTTGAGACTTGAAGTGTCACTGCCATATTTTTTGGTAGACACCGTGAAAAAGGATGCTGCGGAGTTTCTGCCAGTCAAGAGAGGTCGTTTTTTCATCAGAGGGCTAAGGAGAGACTGCCTGCCAGACCCCATGCAGGCGTTCCTCCCTGCCCCCCTGTGCTGCACGGATCTGCTCCCGGCAGTCACACTGGAAGAGATTTTGGATCTGAGCTTGGCTGCGACCGATGTGCAGAGTTTGTGTGCAGGGCACGCTGCTAACCTCACATTGTACAAGCAGACCATATCTCAGTGCATCGAAGAGCATCGTGCCCAAGGCAAGCCGCTGCCCTCGAACACGGTTGTTGTGGAGCTCGACCGAAACCCCTTGAGAACTTTCGGCGGGAAGTGGGGTTGGGGCAAGATCCCATCACTGAGGACTACGGGGCCACCTTTGTTTCTTCTGAGTTGCGAGGACTTGTCGAGGCCATGGCAGGTCATGCGACTGCACAGGTGGCTCAGCATCGCTGAGCGGTGCAGCGCTCTGGGGCAGCGTGCAAGCCACGCGGCCTTGTTCTCGAGAGACACCCATGCCCTGCATGCGATCGGGAACGCTCTCTCGCCAGTGCAGCTGGCCGCTGTTGCCTCGCCGCTCGTGGAGGCAGCGGTCAACTCTGGCGTGCTCACTGCAGGCAACCGTTGCAAAGCCTGCGCAGTGGAGCTTCTGCCGCACACGAAGCCACCGGGTACATCAGCAGCTTGTATCCTTGAAAAGACCCCGAGGCCAAGCGCCACAAAAGGTTCCAAACCAAAGGCTGCAGTTGAAGAGGCAACACAAAAGACTCGAAAACCGAGGGCCAAAAGCAGTGCAAAGCCGAAGGCTTCAACTGAAGAGGCAAGCCCAAAGACCCGAACCCCGAAGGCCAAAACAGCTACAAAGCCAAAGGTTTCAACTGAAGAGGTAACCCCAAAGACTCGCAACCCCAAGGCCAACAGGGTTCGAAAGCCAAGGGCTCCAACTGAAGAGGAAGCTCCAAAGACTCTGCCTCGTGACACCAGCGCAAAGCCAGAGGCTTCAGCTGAAGAGGAAGCCCCAAAGACTCTGCCTCGTGACACCAGCACAAAGCCAGAGGCTTCAGCTGAAGAGGAAGCCCCAAAGACTCTGCCTCGTGACCGTGACACCAGCACAAAGCCGGAGGCTTCAGCTGAAGAGGAAGCCCCAAAGACTCTGCCTCGTGACACCAGCACAAAGCCGGAGGCTTCAGCTGAAGAGGAAGCCCCAAAGACTCTGCCTCGTGACACCAGCACAGCTGGTTTAGATGGCACCCAGGACTTACCACGTCACCAGCCAGAAGGCAGCACCCAGGACTTACCACGTCACCAGCCAGAAGGCAGCACCCAGGACTTACCACGTCACCAGTCCGATGACTTGGAGCTAGAGCTTGAGCGACTGGTTGACGAGCTTTTTTCGGATGATGATCCGGGCATGGACGTTGATGATGCTGCGCCACAGAGTCCACTCGTCCTGAGTGAGAAAGCAACACACCTCTTCGAGTGTTTGGCTAAAGCCAAAGCTTCATCCAAAAACTGGCTCTCGCCAGCAAGCAAGAGCTCCAAGAACGAATCTGAGCCAGCACAAAGCTCCGGAAGCAAGGTTGGCGACAGACGGAGGCGTTCTACTAGCTCAGGGCGAGACATGCCAGAGAATGCTCAGCGCAAGCTGCGTTTCCCACCTCACTTGAACCTGCCAAAAGAAGCGATCCACCTCTCGGATTCCGACTAGCGCTTCTAAGCGGTGTCGGTTGCCATGGTGGCGGTCTGCCTGTTCGTAGATAGGACCTGCTAGGATGGTAGGTGGATGAGCAGATGTGTGTGTGTGTGTGTGTGTGCACACAGCAAGCTTGAGAATAGTGCAAAACAGTCTTCCGATAACCCTTCTGTGTTCGCTGAGTAAGCTTGCCGGGTAGTTCCCTGATGACAGCCATTGAACTCAGGGTTCTTGTTTTTGTGTCTTGCAGCGATTTGTTTGGCTCCACAAGCCCCTCAGCTCCCACACTCGTGCTCCCCTGCCCCGCAGCAAGCATGACAGATGCCCCGGACCAGGAGATGCCTCAGAGCATCATGTGCATCAGGTGTGAGGAAGAGACAAGCATCTTGACGAGCTACCCAACTGGAAGGAACTGCTTGAGGCGGATCTGCTCCTGCTGTTCGTCCACAGACCGGTGCCTCTCTCGGATGGCTAAAGCACCGAAGAAGGGCTCTGCCGAAGAAGCCAAAGAAAGCGAGGAGGCCAAGAAAGCTCGAAAAAGCGCTGAGGCCCTGAGGGGAAGCGTGGCCAAGATGGGTTCCTCGGAGCGTGCCCAGTGGTACCGCCAAGAGAAACGGAAGCGGGCAACCGAGTCAAAGAAAAGCCGCAGGACCTTCGCAACGGCAGTGGGGGCCTTGGAAGAGACTCGCCAGACTGGGAAATTGCAGCGGCTCACGATACATGACCCCCCGCGACTGGTGCGCACGGGAAATGATCCTGAAGCAGTACAGTACCTTGGAGGATGCTATGGCAGCCTACGAGCAGCGCTGCACGGATCCGGACGTTGTGACCAAGGAGATCAACGGGGAACTCTGCCTCCGGGTCAACAACGGAGGTCTGGAAAATGTCGTGGACCGCCATACCGTTGCAGCATCCGTGCGGCAGCGGACTGACCTTGGCGATGGCGAGCAGCTTGATGGTTTCGAAGAGGAAATCGGACCTCGCATGAAACGTGCTTCTGACAAGCTCCAAACAGAGCGGCTTCTGTCAGAGCAGCAGGGCAAGCAGGCCTACGTTCCGGCCGTCGCGGTGCGACGAGATTTGGAGCAAGAGAAGGAAGTTGCTGAGAACAGAGCTGCTGAATTTCAGCAGCAAGCCTTGGCACTCAAGGAGAAAGCTGATCAAAAGAGGAAAGAGTTGAAGGAGAAGCAAGCAACCCAGCTTCCCTCCTTGGCAGTGGCAAAGCTCAGCCTCACCAACGCTATCCACAAGGCAAATGCTTCGATGTCCGAGCTGTTGAAGCGTCAGAAGGCCACAGCAGACACCTTGTGCAAGGACTTGACGAATGCTTTGTGCATGTCAGACGTCCCCGTGAAGAGAGAAGCCGAGGAAAAGACGAAAGTGCTGAATGGCAAGATCAAGGACCTGGAGACTGCCATGGAGGAGTCCATCGCAGAATGGAACACCAAGGCTGGTGACGAAAGCCTTGACATCGAAGCCATGGTGTCAATGGAGAAGGATCTGGCAGCCTACATGAAGGAGTGGCACCTTGGCAAGCACTGCCAGGCAGTGTTGGACACGAAGCAGCAGATTAAAAACTTCCGCGAATTCACCTCAGACTGCAAGAAGGAGGTGAAGAAGCGGGACAAGCTGGCCGCGAAGGCGACAGTGAGGGGTTCGAACAAGAAGGCCAAGCTTGATCATCCGAACAGCCAGGCAGCTGCCGAGACCCCCGCCTTGGTGGTCAATCTGTTTGAAGCACCTCAAGGAGAACCCGCTTCCCGATGAAATCATCAACTGCGCAACGGAGCCAGAGGATGAGATGACAGTGCCCCTTCTGCTCCCACCAACGCCGATGGAAGGCTTTACCCGGGATGTGACCCGGCACGAGTATTACAGCGAGCAAAAGAAGTGGGTGGAGCAGATGCTGCTGAGGAGCAGCCAGAAGTATTCGTGTGCGGTGGTCACCAGAGACAATGTGGCCAGGCCCTTCTTGCAGCAGCTGGACCAGATCCTGCCGGTGCCACTGCGTTCCGTGGCACGACCCTCGAGCAAGGAGCTGCAAGAGATCTGGCAGTTGTACTTTTACCAGATGGCCGGGGACTCCGGCCGCCTCTCGATGTCCACTGACTGGGGCTTGCCCGAATTGCGCATCTGCTGCGAAGGCAAGGAGATCTACTTGGGGTTCCCCGTGAAGAAGCTAGCCGGCAACACGACGGCCGAGATGCTGCAGCACCTGGAGCGGATGCGTGCAGAAGAGTTCCTCACGGCAGTTGAGCGGGATGGCTGGTGTGACATGCCGCCCTGGGAGGGGAGTCGTGCTGCCCACGAATTGTTTGTTCGTTCATCTGAGCCTGCAGGGACCTGAGACCTGCCACGGAGCCAGGATTCACATCGTGTCTGACAAAAGCCTCCAGACGGCTCTCACTCACCTGGAGAGGCAGGTCCAACAGGACCCGACACTGGAGTCCCAAAGAACCGGCCAGCTGCTGAAGTGGATCCGCGAGAGGTGAACTGTGCGGCATCCTTAGCGTCCAGGCTGCAGCTTCTGCTGCTAACCTGTGACCTTATGGATCATTCACCTTGGCTTCGTGGCCACTTGCCTGCTCCCCGCAACCCCATCTCATCGGGGTGTGGTTTTTAACAATTGTTTTCGGCAGGGGTGCTGCTTCGCAGCTATCCCTTCGGCAGGGGTGCTATCCTGTGGGCTGCTGCTTTTGCAGCTAACCC